ATAAATGCTCATCAGGTTTGACTGCATAGAAATGAATGTATTGAATGGATCATTAATACATCTGGGACAGAAGCTTCCAAAATGTGTAGGATGGTAGTCAGAGTGCAAATGTCCTTAAAATTTTAAGGTAGTGACCTGAATGATGTACACCAGTTAGCTGTGTTTCAGTCACTGTTTAGCCCAATAAACAAGACATATTAGAGGGGAAAAGGGTTTTTTGGGGGGTGGGGATGTTCAAGAACTAATTGAAAGAGAGAAATGTCTATTGGTTGAGGAATGCTAATATCATCATACTTCATTATATACAATATAGATTAGAATATTAGGGACAAGCTCAAGTCCAAGTTGTAATGTTACAGGTTTTTTTAAGTTTTTCAAAACCAAACTATTTGTATATTTTTTTTATGCATTGTATTTTTCATTAACAGTGTCTTTTGATAAATGATAAACGTTTTTGCCCCCAAAAATTAAAAATTACAGAAATTCAACAAAACTGCTAACATAATTTTCATAATTTAACCTATATAATATGCAGTAAAGAAATCATCAATTATGAAAAGGCAGTTCTATAATAATGCCACAAAGTACATTACACAAAACGCCTACCTATTTATAAAGAAATGGTGGAAAACTTTAACTCAATAATTGGTTATATGTATTCCTTACAGTTTTTAAATGTCATTCCCATAACAATAATTCAGACTATCAAAATAAATGGCTGAATAATTCTCTAATCAAATGTTCTTTTATTTTTACTATAATATTAAGTTTTGCTTTTGATCATAAAAATTACTGAATAACAATTTAAATATGAAATTTGCAATTTCCTTTAATTACCTCTCATTTTGACATAAATACACTCAAGTTTAAAATGCTGCAATCAAATGTATATAGTGTTGAATTCATGTTATCATAGGATAACCAAACATGTACCAACCTATATATACAGCTGTCTGGTACAAATAAGATTTTAAATTTTCAACATTCTAACAAATTCAATGACTTTATTAGGAGTAATTTTCAGGTAAGTATAAAGTCAACTGAAAATCTATTTCATTAAATTAATTTTCTTATTTCAAGTTTAATACAACGCTGTATCTATATATTTCTATTATTTTCTTTATCGAATGGCGATATATTTTACAAACATTGTTAATGCTTTTTTTTTTTTTAAAGTTAACATAATTTATTTTTATTATTTATTTAAATACAGCATGCAAATGAGATTTTAAATTAATCTAATTTAATGAAAAGTAATACTTTAAAACATTATTTACAATAAATAAGTCATTCATGTTTGTAAGAATTCAAAATAAAAGGTTCAGAATCTCAGGGTTTTTTAAAAAAATTTTATCAATGATTCAGTAATAATCTTAATAATTAATAGGGCTATAAAAATATATAGACCAAAGTAAACAATAAAACTTTAAATTACAAGCTTTATAAATCATAAATACTGTCACTTGAGAGACAGAAAAGATTTTAGTACTATGTTAATTTTAAGAATTTGATTTGATTTTTATACAAACAATATTAAAAACATAAAAACGAGATTGAAAATAATCTCTTCTACTTCCTGCTTTCTGACTACTTTAATTTTAATAGACATACTTATCAGATTTTTTCCTGCATCCACGTCATGTAATTTGACAGACTAAACACAGATATCGGAATATTAATCATACAGACCGACTTCTACGTAATGCCTTAATATAAGCTTGTCCATCTATACTCTATATCGCTGCTGTTTTAATTGTTTCAGAATTGAAGCTTCAAGACTACTTTTATAAATGTCTTAAATTTTCCCTTTTTTTCCTGTAATATTTCAGACAACAGTATATTAATGATACTTCATTAGAAGGGCTGCTTTTACAACTACAGTCAAACCTCGTTATCTCAAACTCAATGGGTCCGAGAAGAAACTTCGAGATATCCGAGAGTTCTAGATATTGAGGCTAAAATATTTAAATAAAAAGTGCTTGAGCCTTTCAAATCCCTTCGACATATCTATTGTATTCGAGATATCCATGTTCAAGATATCGAAGTTCAACTGTACTTCAAATCTTTGTTGAAAATCAGCTGCTGTCCCTGCTTGTACACTGTTTATACTCATTAAACTTTTTTTTTTATATTCACTTTACAAACAACCAATGTACAAAATTACAGTTGACTTGTTTTTTTTTTCCAAGCCCTGGAAGACCATAAATTAATATGATACAGCCAGAATAACAATTTTTTATAGAATTTATTTTAAGTGTACCTACATGACAAATTCTGTAAAAATGTGGTCTTTGTAATTTTAACCAACAATGCAGTCTGATATACTCTTACATACAGATTCAGAATTAAGTATTTTCTGCAATTGTATATATGATCCCTCAAAACTTTTTATACTGTAAATTACCTTTTATTTGCAAGAACTTTATTTTAGTTTAATTACCCAAGTCTGTCTGCTCGCGAAAATTTCATTCATGTGTATATTAGTAAAGTTTATATGCAACAAAAGCCATAGCTCGCAAAAATTTTGTCTCGCTTGTAAATACCAAATAGCTATATCACAAAAATAAGGTGTTGCGAAAATATAGTGATCTACAGTAATGAAATTTCTCAAATCATAAGCTTAATTAATTGATAGATTAGAATTTCAGATTCAGAACCAACTGAACTAGGATTTTGAAATCAAAAACCACCGGTAACTGGATAAGGACTTCAAAATCCAAACTATAATCAGATAAAAAAAAAAAAAGCTAGTTTATGGTATTTCAGAATAAAAAATAAAAGAAAAATTTTAAAAAATTGAATTTACGACTTTAAGATCAAAACTTAAAAACTATATTTATAATTAGGATTCAATAAGAAGGTCTCAACACTATCCAGATTAATATATCAGAAACAAAACTGACTGGATTAGGTTTCCGAATCAAATTTTAAACATATTTAATTAAGATTTCATAGTCAAAACTAAATGATTTCAGAATCAGAACAGAATTAGGACATATAGAATCAAATTTTACTGAATAAGGATTTTTATTTTTTTTTTGTAATATAAAATAATTGAATTAAGATACCAGTCGACTCAAAGCTTTCTGAAACTGGATTAGAATTTCAGAATAAATTTCTTCAAGGTGTCTGAAGTATTGTTGTTATTTTGTGTACTTGTTGCAATACAATTGATAAACATCATAAATGGGTACAACTATGGTATCCTTCATTATAAGTCAGGAATCAGCAATTATCTGGAAAGTGTCCGAAGTGTTGTTAATTTGTGTACTTGTTGTAATACATATATTGGAACAACTATCCTACATAGTCAGGAATTGGTAAGTGTCTGGGTGATACACATCCATCGATAGATCAGCATCAGCTGCTACTGCAGGTGTCATACAAGACATTACTGTAGGCAGGGACAAAAGTTATATCAGTTATAAGTAGTCCTCAAATGTTTCTCATCGCTATCACTAACTTTCCAATTTTTTGTTTTTTTGTTTTAGGTTGATCATTCTGCACACTTAATTGAACCACTTAATTGCTTTTCACACACAAACTATTCTTGTATCTGCTCCATATTTGGGAATTTCCAGGAAAGATGACATTTTCTGATAAAAATATTTTCTCATTATACCTTCTGTTTTTCAGCCAAAGTGAGTGTCCTAGGGAGAAAGCTCTCCTAATTGAAATTCAATAACCTCTTTCCTTGAAGGAACATGTTTAATGCAATGACGTTGCATCATATTACTCATTATAGACTTCAATCTTAATCAATTATTTCAAATTTATGAGAAAACAATCAAATCAAAACCCATGCGAACTTAACTGACTCAGAGGTAATTGCTACACCAGATAATAGAAAAATAAGAGAGACTTTATACTAAATCACTTAATCTTAAACTGAGAGGCAGTCCATTTCCATGGTAATTATACATATATATAGCACAGATCTAGCTATTAAATCATGAACATATATCCCGACCAATTCTATATCCAGCATACAACTAGCCATCAATTACCAACACATGTTCATTTCCACAGACTATATATAGAAAAGACCTTCAAACATCATGGACTTACAAAGACATAATATATATATATATAGAGAGAGAGAGAGAGAGAGAGAATTTCTTTTAGTCAATACTTTGTGCTGTTTAAGCTGCTATTTAAATTTTTTCTTTTTCATTTGAGGTTCAGAAATATATTAGATAATTCTGAATCAGTGCATGGATGCTTAAATGATTCACATCAGTTTAAAAGTCATTTTAATTCTCATAATTCCCTACAAGTTAATTAGTAAGTCTTATTTATAATTTTACATGAAGCTGTCACTTTAAATTGAAGTTTTTTTTACATTTGCAGGAACTGTAGTTCTGGGGCCCGATTCACAAAAGAACTTACGACTACGACAGACCAAAATTTAATTTTGTAAATAATTTTTTTTATTTTACATTGATTTGAAAATGGTCTGAATCTTTTTGAAAAGAAGTTGTGGAATCATATTAATGCGAAGAATTTTAAACAGAATCATTAATTTTGCAAGATTTTACAATCAACCAAAATTTTTAGACCTAATCGTAAGTTCTTTTGTAAAACGGGCCCCCGAATTCTCTCTCAGAGAGTTACAGTTCTCATGAAGTGAGTCAGATATTACATAATCATCATTACATGGCAGTTGTTATTTACGTCAACTGCAACAAAAAATATGGAATTTCCTTCCAAAGTTGTATCAGTTTCTATGTTCCATTTCTGTCTATTGCACGAGACAGAAAATTACACATTATGATAATCTAACCCCCCACATCATTTGATAAGCATCATTTAATATAACCCCCAGCCTGTTAACTTACAGTCTGAAATCACAAATATTGATGTTCAAAGCCCATGAAAATTTGTGATTGTACATGTAGATTTAAAGAGAACTGCCATTTTCACACACGCAACACAAAAATAAAAATGGATATTCCAATTATACAGCATGTTTATAAATTTTAGGATTGGAGTACTTTGAGTTTCCCACATACGCTCCCGAACACAAAAGGAAGATAATTTATTGCAGATTGGATGCTGGTAAAATACAAAGCTCCACCTACCTTTTGAATGAACACAATGGATTCAATGACTCAGGTACAAATCTATTTTTTTCTTTATTTTTAAAGGCACTCATGTAATATTTTTTCTCCAAAGTTCAATGATTCTGAAATCATAGGACTTAGAGATGTATGTAATATAAGGTATGTAAATTGCAGCTGATTTAAGTTAATCATATGTTCCAATTATTCAAATTCTTACTTTATTTTACAAAATTTGGAGACTTTCCTCGACAACCGTGAAATTTTTTTTATTTTTATTTTATGTTTTTTTTTTTTTTTTTTTTTTTTTTTGGCTTTTGCAATTTTAGAGAAGTAACTACAAGTCTGAATGTTCTTTAAGATGTTTATGTGTGATACCATCATTTTATCTATTCTACCCAAAGTGACATATAGGGAGAAGTATGCAATACTGAGGGATTTAGCTCAATATGAATTACTGAACAGATCTTTGATTTATTGAAGATTTCTATCACTCTGATCAGAGAATCTCTTCCTATCATATTACGTAGATCTTTTTAAATATCTTGTATGTTGTGTAACTTGGTGAGTTTTATCTCAGATATTTGCATAAATTTACAATATGAGATCTGGAGTGTAAAAGGCAATGTTTCTTGTAAAAGTACATGCAATTATAAAACCTTCTTGAAGCTCAATGCACTTCCAGGATACATTTTAGTTTAACGAGTGCATATAATTCTCCATTAATGCATATAATGTCTAATCAATGTTCACTGTTTGGAATATGTAGCCACAAGCCCACAACCATTATGGATACTACAGTGCAAAAAATTGCTTATCTAAATGAGAGATTTTTTGTGTTTCGTGGATATAAATGAAGCCAAAATGAAAATTCGTTTGAAGTAGGCTACCGGTAAGATGCCATCCTCTTTAAATTGTTTCCAGAATATTTATTTATGGATTGACTCCCTTATGTGTGTGATGACCAAACATGATTCCACTGGTAAATATTGATTGCCTGACCCATTACTCTCTTACTCGTTAATTAATTTTAACTGTCATTTGTGCTTCTGGGGCCTGTTTTACAAAAGTACTTAAGTAATGTTTGTAAAATTTTGCAAAATCATTCTGTTTAAAATTGCTAGCATAAGAAGTATCTTTCTACATTACTTTTAAAAAGATTAAAACCATATTTCAATTTAATATAAATTAGAAAGTTATTATAAGCTGAATTCAATTTTGGTCTAAGTTGCAAGTTCTTTTGTAAAATGGGCCCCTGATCATACTTAATTTTAAACTTTTTTTGTTGTTGACTTTTTACATTCTTTCTAAGACACAAAATAGAATGAAACTAAAGGTGCTGTGAGCCATGAGCACACAAAATGACCCCCCCCCCACTTCCATATGAGTATAATCATGGTAAAGTCCTTTTTTTTGCCATGGGAAAGTCCAAATATCTTTCCAATCAATATAATCCAATCAAAGTAGGAATGGCACAATGGTGCTATATGTTAAGTGCATTTATTATATACCAAACTGTTTGTCACTCAGTTTTACTGTTGAATTTACGCAATCACGAGACGATGTGATCCGACGTTCCGGATCACCACACTGTGGTTTTCTGAATCCATATCACCCCTCTCTGAAACTGATGACGTAGTACACAGACAAGAGGCCCACGGGCCTTATAGGTCACCTGAGTATCATGCAACAACTTCGCCACAATGGATTCATGTTTTAAACCAGAGGCCATGAAATTCACAATTTCGAAAGAGGCACACTTGCTCATCATAATTTTACATTGAGTAAGCTTACTTAATACCCAGAAAGAGAGCAGAGGATTATCAATGAATTAATGCATTTTCACTATGTAATCATTAGAGCCCTGCCCTAACACCAGAACCATGATGCAGGGGCCATAAAATTCACAATTTTGGAAGAGGCATCCTTACATATCATAACAATACTCTTAGTTCATCAGCTTAATACCCAGGAGAAAAGAAGAAGATTTTCAAAGAATTATTGCATTTTTACTATGTAATCATTAGAGCCCCATCCTAACACCAGAACCCCTGACCCAGGGGCCATGAAATTCATAATTTTGGAAGAGGCACCTTTACTCATCATAACTATGCATCAGTTTGTTTGTTAAATACCCAGGATCAAAGAAAAAGATTTTTAAAGAAATAATGCATTATCACTATATATTCAACAGAGCCCCACCCTAACCCCAGAACCCCTGACCTAGGGGCCATGAATTTCACAATATTGGAACAGGCACCCTTACATATCATAACTATACTCTTAGTTCATCGGCTTATTACCCAGGAGAAAAGGAGAAGATTGTCAAAGAATTATTGCATTTTTACTATGTAATCATTAGAGCCCCGCCCTAAAACCAGAACCCCTGACCAGGGGGCCATGAAATTCACAACATAGGAATAGGCACCCTTATTCATCATAACTATGCCTTCAGTTTGTTTGCCCTGGATCAGAGAAGATTTTTAAAAGAAATAATGCATTTTCACTATACATGTATATTCAACAGAACGCTGCCCTAACACCAGAACCCCTGACCCTGGGGCCATGAAATTCACAATTTTGGAAGAGGCACCTTTCATCATCATAACTATGTATTTATTTTGTTTTCATAATATCCAAGAGCACAGAAGAAGCTTTTTAAAGAAATAATGCATTATCACTATATATTCAACAGAGCCCCACCCTAACACCAGAACCCCTGACCCTTGGGCCATGAAATTCACAATTTTGGAAGAGGCACTCTTTCTCATCATAACTATGTACTTAGTTCATCGGCTTAGTACCCAGGAGCAGAGGAGAAGATTTTTGAATAATTAATGCATTTTCACTATATAATCATTAGATACCTGCCCTAACACCAGAACCCCTGACCCAGGGGCCATGAAATTCACAATTTTAGAAGAGACACCTTTCCTCATCATAACTATGCATATTGTTTGTTTCCTAAATACCGAAGAGCAGAGGAGAAGATTTTTTAAGAATAATGCTTTTCACTACATATTCAACAGAGCCCCACCCTAGCACCAGAACCCCTGACCCTGGGGCCATAAATTTCACAATTTAGGTAGAGGGCTCAATGCTTATTACATTCATGCCAACAGTTTGCCTGCTTGATGCCCAGAAGTAAAGAAGAAGATTTTTAAAGATTGCATTAATTCTGATGGTTTTAGCCCCACCCCTCAGGCCCCAGGGGGGTAGGGGTCATGAATTTCACAATTTTTACTCCCCTTCACATATAGATGCTATGTGCCAAATTTGGTTGAAATTGGTTCAGTGGTTCCAGAGAAGAAGCTGAAAATGTTCAAATGTTAACGCACGACGGACGACGCACGCCGACGGACGAAAACAGATAGCAATAGGTCACCTGAGTAAACTCAGGTGACCTAATAAATGACGTTTTTAGTCTTGCGCATCAAAAAGTTCCTTGACAAAATGGTTTGTTTAATGGATAAAAGTTATGTAATTGATCCAAAAAGTTTTTTCTTTTATCATATTTTGCTAGTTGTTAAGGGGTATATAATAAATTTATCATTATAACAGTAACTTGATCCAAAGAGCCGTATCACGTCTCATTGACAGGCGCGGATCATCAGATCAAACTCGACGCTTCGCGTCTCGTTTGATCTGATGATCTGCGCCTGTCAACTTGACGTGATACGGCTCTTCGGATCAAGTTACTGTTATAATAATATATATTTATCATTAAATTTTATTCACTGGTATAGGAGGAGATGCAGATAAGACATGGGTACCCCAAGCATAATGGATGTACAGCTAAACAGATGAAAAGACACCCCCATCTTTATTAATGATAAAGAATAAAAGAATACATGTTTATAGTAGGGATGTCAACAAATTTAAATGAGAATTCCACTATCGGACTATCGACTAAATATTTTTACTCGATTATTTGTTAAAAATTTGTTTCTTAATAGTAATTAATAAAAATGAATCAGCCTAATTCATTTCTAAACACAACAGTATTCTTGTAACTGTGAGTTAAAAGAGTTAAACTCAGAATCCTTAACTGGTCTTTGTTAATTGATCAAAGGGAATCAGTTGCTTGTTGGTTGGTAGACTGTGAATTAAAACACCAATCTCTCAAAAAAATCTTAATTACCCCAATAAAGATTCCCTTGGATGAAAACCTCTTCCCTTTCCTGGCATTATTAGCCCATAAGTTACTGTCTGTGCCTGCCACATCGGTGCCTTCAGAAAGGATTTTTTCGTCAGCTGGTCTTCTACTGTCCAAGTTCAGAAACAGCCTGTCTTCCAATATTGTAATTCAAATCATTTTTTCTTTTAAAGAATAATTAAACAGCTGTTACATATTTGTACGTACATGTAAATTGGGGAACAGTTATGAACGCAATTTAATGGCGTTTCTTTCTGATGTTAGTATCAGTCATTTCAAGATTGTATTGATGAAAAAAGATAATGAACATTGATCGATCTCAAAAATCTATAAACAATACAAATCTGTGAAAAGCACATAAAACATGGACCCCTGGAAATTCCAGATGTGGGATCAGGTGCCTAGGATAGTTTGCACAAATTCTCATAATTAAAATTTATCGCAAGCTCTCTATGATCTTATAAGAGGTATGCTTTAAATGTTTACCAATCACGGGTCAGACTTAACTGAAACTAGACATGTTTATGTCGCCTCGAGTGATAGATCAATAACAGGTACATGTATAAGCATCATGAAATATGAGTGTTTGATATCCTGCATAAATCAAATACATTAGATACATTTTTTTTTTTAGTTTCATATTCTGTGATTTCATCATTTTTCAAGGAACACCAATTTTTGTGGATTTCGTTGTTGAGTCGATCCACGAAATCAAATGTTCATTGAAGTTTAGTGCCTACATTTTGATTTATGATAAACCTTTAAAAAGCCTAATTACGACTTCCATTAACATATGCGAATAACCCCCCCCCCCCCTTTTCCCCAACAAGTTGGCTTTATAAAGGTATTTTATTTAGACAATTTTCTGGCAATTTTAAGTCAATTTGTTTGAATATTCT